TAAACCCCAAAAATCTCAATATCCTAAAAGAAGTTTAAACGTAAAAATGAGAGGCGGAACCGCCATTGGAATAGGAAGGAAGCTCACGAACCCACCATCAAGCCTCTCCATTTCCAAACAAACCCTAATCCCCTTCTCCACTTCCTCCAACAGTGGCGGTGGCCGAGGTAGAGGTCGCGGCGGTCCATTTCCCCCGACTCCCGCCCGATTCGACTTCACTCCCCCACCTCGCGTCCCTGGTCAACCAGACTCCGACGACCCCAAACCTGACCCACCCCCGTCCGCGCCCGGACTTGGCCATGGCCGCGGCAAACCCTTACCTACCTTCTCTTCCTTCGTCTCTGCCATCAAACCCAATTCAGGAACTGGTCGTGGCCAGCCGAATCAAGTGCAATCCATCCCCGAATCACGTGATTCGGTGGCCCCTGATGCCGGACCCAGCAAACCCATTAAACCCATTTTCTTCGTAAGGGGAGATGGGTCCGACCCGACGTTGCCCGGTAGCGGGCGGGGAAAACCCATGAATTTTACCCGCCCGGAGGTTCAAGTTAAGGAGGAGAACCGGCATATTCAGGCCCGATCCGAACCGGATCCGGACCAGCCTAGAACCAGGCCCAGAGGTCCGAAGTTGACCCGGGAAGAGGCGGTGAAGCAAGCGCTGGGAATATTGGCACAGGATGGTGCTGAGGGAGATGATGTTGGTGGTGGTGGTGGTGGTGGCAGAGGTAGAGGCAGAGGGAGAGGGATGAGAGGCAGAGGAAGAGGCCGAGGCAGAGGAAGAGGAAATTTTAGAATGAGTGAGAGAGGGGATGGGAGAAGGGGTAAGGATTCGGATGATAGCTATGCTTCAGGGCTCTATCTTGGGGACAATGCTGATGGGGAGAAGCTGGCTAAGAAGCTTGGCCCTGAGATTATGAATAAATTGGTCGAATCGTTTGAGGAGATGAGTAGTGAAGTGCTGCCTTCGCCTCTGGATGACGCGTATGTGGATGCCATGCATACCAATTTTATGGTAAGGAATGCTTCAATGCTATGTCTTTTTTGGTTGCTAAGGAAGTGTAGGAAAGGAGTAGTATGTTTCAGATTGTGAATCTTATGTTGTCTGCTTGTTAGAGATTGTTGTAGTTAACTGAGCCTAGTACTGCATTTAGCTTTGTGCGAAGATTCATGTTGTCTGCTTGACAATTTTCGACAATTTTAGTTTTTTGACGCTGTGGTGATTGTTCACTATTGTTATTTGGATTGCAGATAGAGTGTGAACCAGAGTATCTGATGGGAGAGTTTAATAAAAACCCGGATATTGATGAGAAGCCACCTATTTCTCTCAGGGATGCTCTTGAGAAGATGAAGCCTTTCTTGATGGCATATGAGAATATTCAAAGTCAAGAGGAGTGGGAGGTATATTTTGTTTTCGAGTGTTAATTTTTTTCTGCTGATTTTGCTATTGTGCAGTTCAATCCTGCATCTTTATCTTAATTCACGCTATAATAGGAGTTTGGGTTCTGCTTGGCCTTTTTCTTCGTTGCAAAGTCATTGGACTTTGGTAGCAGTTGAATTTGATGTTAGGAATTTAGGTTTGTTGGAAGCAGGAAACCTTTTCAAGATGATCAAAAGCTGTATCTTATTTTGTTTCTGCTTGATTGCTCTCATATTCACTTCTCTTTGATAATGCACATGTGCCATCTAGGTTGTTTATTTATTGGTTATCTAGACTTTATCAGATAAGAATCTGGTAAAATGAAATTATTCTCAAACCTTTATGTTTTGTACCTAATTTGTTTTAGAAGGTCTTCAACTCATATCAGGGAGCTCTAATTGACAGAAGTTGGGAGTGGCAAATATTTTAGACTTCAACTATAAAAGGAAATGTGGGGGGTTTGATTCTTATATGCACCTGATCTGCTTGTTCTCTAAGTTGACATTTTATTTTTTGGCATATTGATGTCTTATTACCTACAACAAAGAGAAAAATTGAGGAATGTGTGTTTGCAAGAGAGTAGACTTATTGAGAGTGATAGCCAGGAAGGGTGAAGGGGCAATCAGCTCTCTGGTTCCAGTTTTCAACAGTTGGTTTATGTACTCGGCTACCACTTTTGGTGACCTTTTCTAATGATTTTAGTTTTTTGTTGTTAGAAAAAGAAAACTGTCTTTGTTTTATGGAAAAAACCAGATATAGAAATCGATATGGGCAACTGTTATTCATTCTTAAAAAGAGAGAGTGGGAGAGAGGTAAAGGAGAAGGAAAAGGACTGCAAGAAGGTGCTCCCGTCTAGAAGGCTTATTTAATTGTCTTTTTAAAGGTTGTCAAATGCATCGTTTGTTCCATTTTCCAAATAAAGTAAACAACGAAAACAAATACGGAAATTTAACATATCAGCTTTTTAATGTTTTAACCTTCGCCACTACTGGGCTTACTTTGTATCTCATTTAAGGGTCTTGGACTGGTTATGGGAGTAATTTGACGTAGGGTAGACCTACCATGAGTTTGTAGGCTACTAAAGGTTATGGGAGTAATTTGATGTAGGGGAGACGTACTAAAGGTTAATTTTTAAAACTTCATTATTAATGCACTGATTATGTTTGATTCTTGGGAATTGGTATGATGGACCTTAAACTTTGAGCATGCTCATAATAAATAAAAGTACAGTTCTTGTAAATGGGGTGACTCATTTGTTTCTGTTATTCTATGACCTCTTTGATATCATCAGGAAGTCGTGAACGAGACTATGGAAAGAGTTCCATTGTTGAAAGAAATTGTTGATCATTACAGTGGGCCAGATAGGGTAACTGCAAAGAAACAACAAGAAGAGTTAGAAAGAGTTGCAAAAACTCTTCCTGCAAAGGTACCTGATTCTGTAAAGCGGTTCACTGATCGTGCAGTGCTTTCTCTCCAGGTGCGTGTTTGTCCTTGTGCATTCTAAGCCCTCATGTTGTCTATCCAATTTTATGCATGAAAAACAACATAGCAATTTTTAATTTTCTTTGCCTTTGGTTGTTCTTTTGTCATATTATATTTTGGATGATTTACTCTTGGAGCCTCATGTTCCGGGAGTTCCATTTATGCTGCTTGAAATTGTTTCACTGCATTGTTGAGGGACAATATTAGTCAGTTTGGCATGTTCATACAAAGAAGGGTTTCTTTTTCTCAAGAGCATGGCACCAACATGTCATTACATTTTACTGTTTAGGATGAGCTGTAGCGAAATCATCTGTGCAGTATAATGTCAAGTTGTGTACAATAGTTGTTTTACTATTCCTTTGAGTGTACATGGGATGGGTATAATAAGTTGTTGAAAATTAATTTTACTTTATAGTTTAACTTGTATTTATTTCTTTCGTATTAAAATTTATGTGAAGAAACACTACATAAGTATTTTGTTCATCACACTCTCTTGATTTGCAGAGCAACCCTGGCTGGGGATTTGACAGGAAGTGCCAGTTCATGGATAAGCTTGTGGCGAAGGTTTCCCAACACTACAGCTAAACTCAGGAAGCTTAGTTTTTAATGGTTAATGCTGAAAATGGTCATTGCCTAAAGCTCTAATGCTGAAAAGAAGTTAATTATGCTTTGATTTCTTGAGTTCAATTTTTTTATTCCTCAGAATTTTGTGCTTGTAGTTCTTGTTCTAAGCTTTTTTAGTTGCCATTAGCAAAAGAAAATGTCAAGCTGTCTTAAAATTCTATCTGCAAAAGTGACAGAAGAGTTGCATAATTTGTCTGTAATAATTTGCTCTCTATGCAGCATAGCACTTTTTGTGAAGCGCTTGTCAGGGCGTTCGATTGAATGCTGATAGTATATGCTCAATGAGCTGATTACGTGATTTGTTGCTTGCTTATAAGAAAGGAGGTTCCTTTTACACACTCTTGGCATATTGTTTATCATGTGCATTACATGTTCACTGAGGAATTGTTGCATTGGCATCCAGTGAGAAGAGCTACAATCCAATCCCGGTAAAACTAGTTTTAGATTTGGTGAAGTTAACAGCATAAGCATTTAAAGTTTTTGGCTTTAGATGGTCTTTTGATCAGTTTCTGGCTGTGTAGCTAATCTAAACTGGAAATCATTGAAATGAAACTCGGAGAACGACAATTTTAAGGAGCAAGATTTGCTCTTCATTGTTTGTTTTCTTATTCCGTGTAGCTAACGTTGCCCAAGGTTCAAATGCCCTTGAGCCCAAAAACAGAAGGAAAAAACAAAAAAAGAACAGTAATCGTTGCAGGTGATCCTCATCTGCTTTTGTTCTTCTTTTGGGTAATTGAAGATACACTCTTCTTCTACCCAATTCATTTCGATGTTGTCATAAGTCTTTGAATCTTCTAAAATATTGATGACTGTGTCATGCGATGATGCATGCTGCTCATTCTTCGTTTATTTTGTGCCTTAAACGCAGTAGATCTTTTGTGTCAAATGCTGATTGTATTCCACCACTTCTTTTTTTTTTTTTTATACAAGCGACATTTTATTTTAATCTAGTCTAAACTACGAGGAGGGGATTTGAACTTGAGTGCATAATAGGGTACATATACGCTCTAACCAACTTCACTAAGCACGTGTCTGCAGTTGGATCCCACAGCTTTATCAACCATGTCAGGCTCTACAACATCATTTTGTCGATATGATCATATTATGAATCTTTATTATCGTTATCATGTTGAGAGAGTTGTGAGTGTATGACCGCCAAAAAGCTCCAAAGGCCTGGGTCCATGCTTTTCTAATCAACAGCTGCACTGCACTCCACAAAGCCTGCTATGATATCTTCAACATATATAAACAATTTTATCTGGAAAAAGAAAAAGAAAAACCCTTTTTCTTTGAGTTTCTGGGGTCTTCAAAGCTTATCGATAAAATTTGAACAGCTTTTTTGGTCCACGTGATGGCCACAAAAAAATACAGACAAATATTATAGTAGAGTTGTTTTTCAACTTGAATTGATTCTTACAAACGTACACTTTGATTTCATTTTGACATGAAGAAATAGAAATAGCAGATGGTATTGAAGGGTGATGATCAAACTTTTTTTTTTGTAAAGGAGATGTATGACAAATTTTGATATTTTACAAAGACAATTCCAATCCAACTCTCAACTAGCTATGTTCACCATTTAAAAACGCAACTTTAGATAAGTTAAGCAAAGGTAGCCCTACAAGACAAAGGTAGTTCAAATCAATCTAGACACGACCAACCGCGTTACAAGCAGCTGTGTCTTTGTACTCTTGTTCATCCATCGTATCACAAATCCCACAACCTCTTGTCTCTGGCAAACATAAAGCAAACAACCCACAAACCCCAACCACAACCCCAAACACTCCATACGACAAAAACCCGCCATTGGCTCTCCCAGCGGCCGCCAGCATCGGACTAAACACACCACCCAACACCACCGCTTGCCTCACCATCGACAGAGCCGAGTTTCTCACGCACGTGGGAAATAGCTCAATCATAAATATAAGCAAGACATTGAAAGCTGAGCAGGCGCTGAAAAAAGACACAAGCTCGAACCCAATTTGTAATCTTGTCCATATTGGATTCATCCCTTTCAGCACAGACATAATGCTGCAAATCCCACAAAGGCTGGTGAAAACAAGGAGTGAGGTTTTCCTGTTCATTTGGTCGATGAAGAAGAATGCGATTAATGAAGCTGGTAGTTCAGACAAGGCATTGAATGTGACACTCAGGTAGAGATTGAAGTTCAAGCTTCCTAAGGCTAAGGGCATGCCATAATACACCATTCCCGTGCCAAACCCCATTGCCATAACCGCGGACAATCTCCGAAAAGCCCATCTTCTCTCTACCAGAACGCTGATCGACGAGTAGAGATCAACGTTCCATGTTTCTTGCTCGAAGGACAAGCTCGAAATAAAGCTCGAGGTAAATGGTGTTTTAGTAGTAGCACTATCAATGGGTGCAATGCATTTTAGGGTTGCAATTGCGTCTTCTTTGCGACCTCTAACAAAGAGCCATCTCGGTGACTCACGAACCAAGAAATGAACCATAATAGAATACAATAATGTGGGAATAGAAGTCCAAATATAGAGGCTTCTCCATGAATGAGCTCTTTGACTATATGCTATTGCGGGTAGGGATAGAAACCCTAGGGTGAAGCAGAAGAATCCGATAACACCAACTTGGCCGCGCCACCGCCTCCCAACAAGCTCCGTTGATAAGACAAGAGCGGAGGTGCCAATGGTGGCGCGGCCAAATCCGGTGATGAATCGGAGGGCGGAATAGATCCATATGTTGGTAGAAAAGGCGGTGAGGAAGGTGGACAAAGACATCATGAGACATGAGAGGAACAGCATGTTTTTGCGTCCCAATGACGTGTCAGCAAGTGTGGCCAAGGCCAGTCCGCCAATTAAACAGCCCATAAAAAACGCGGAGGCGGGCAGGCCAGTCACGAGGGATGACGAGCACTCAAGGGCCCATTCAGAGACGGTGGAGGTGTATTTCGGCCTGTCCCAGGCCCATAAGTTTTGGGGAAGTTGGCAAATGTTGGAGGCTGAATTGCATGAGCTGTGGCGGTCAGTGAGTTGGGTGCAGTGCCATGTTGGCTCCGCGTCTGTGAAGACGGTGATGAAGGTTTGTTGGGCATCAAAGAACCATGAAAATGATACAAGGGTAGCTTGGAGGAATTGGGCCCACCCGAAATCTCCGATGCACCGTTCAATCATGGAGTCGAGGGAGGGAAGGTGTGTGTGCAGTACCGGAGGTTCTGAGTCGGCCAAGTTGAGTTCGGAGAGAAGAGGTGTTGAATAAGCCATTTGGTCCAGAGCTAAAAGCAAACGCGTTTGAGTTATGAATGAGTGAAATAATATAATGAATGCTTTTATAGGGCTTTTGGTGTTTGAGAAAATTATTGGTGCTTTTGTATAAGAATTTCAGGAAAAGCAACTTATGTATATAAATTAGTGTATACACATCAACAATCTACGAACATAATTAAACGTGTTTCACATGGCATCTGCGCACATCTCTTAACTTTTCTTGCAATGGGCTGCTCTTTCAATTTGGTATATGGGGGACCAACTTTTACTATGTTTTAGGGAATATCCTAATTTTTTGTTTCCAAATACATATTCTTTTTCATTTATATTGTTTAAATTTCATCAAGGCAGTAATTACAAGACAATTGACAAGCATGCAGTATCACAAAGGTGGTTTTATACAAGGACTTGTCATAGAGTTTTATTGGTTCGGAAGACTACTTGACATTTCTAAACTGAATTAATTAACATAAAAGATTAGGCTTCATACAATTTTTTTAGATAAAAAAACGATAGATTACATTTATAATTCAAGCACAAACACCGTCAGCTACAAAATTAACTTCATTGATTAAGAAAAGAAAGAGAGCACACATTTTAGCTTTGTTCCTTGAAAAAATTAAATAAACAAATATCACTTGGAAGTCTGAGTTTGGCGAACATTGCAATTGGGTGGTAAGTATTGATAAATCTTTCCTCATGCTTTAATGTGACCCACACGTTTACATATCAATCGCAAGTGACAAGTACTCTAATTTAAATTAGAGAATTGAAAACATTTACGTAATTGGATGTTTGAGGCATCAATCTTATCACTACAGAACATAGTTTAATCAAGACTTAAAAAATCATATAAACACTGAGCAAACAAAAAATGGCGGTAGTTGGGTTAATATTAAATGTCATTGAGCTTCTTAACATTGATCGACGCATTAAGCGACAAGAGAGGTCAGGTTAAGAACTTCTTAACCGGAATAAAATTAATGGTTTTGAGCTTTTGGTTTTTATTTTTTTATTTTTTTAGAGAGCTTTTGGTTTTCCATGATTAACAACTCGAAAACTTGCTTTCCAGCCCACAAGATGTATATGGTTTAGTTTTGCTTGATTTTCCACAACATGGAATGGAAGTGCACTTTAATAATGTTAGAAAGTGGCAGATGACAAAGCTTCTCATCAGGTATCACCATCTATTAGTATATTGTTTCAAGCATGCATGAATCGACCATCCTCCAACTTGGATAAAAAAGAAGCCTTTTAGATATTCTAAAATAAAACCCCTTTTTCCCTTTTTGGGTCTGAAATCTTCCTATTATGGCAGGCAGGCACATTAATGATTGAAAATATTTTCACTCAACACTTTAACTTAAGGTGTATTTTTATCATCATTCTCAATACTTGACACGTGTTCATTGGTATAACCATAGTTAACTCATTACTTTGTATTTATAGAGCCATGACTGTGGCAATGGACATATGTCAAGTATTAAGAATGATAGTACAGGCACACTTTGACTAATGAGGTGAGCAAAAATGCTCTCTTGACGATTAACATCTTGTGCATTTTAATTAGATTAATAAAAGGGTGGTTGAGGGACTAGAAATTCCATAGCAGAAATAAAATTGCCAAATACGTTAGAGAAAGAGGCGCATGTTGTCGCTTTTACTTGGCAGTGAACTCTGTTAGAAAATTTAATAATTTTATGTTCTTTGGAGGAATACAAAATAAGAAACTTGTATTTAGCCACAATTTTGTTGGGAACCGGGGTTTGCCTAGCACAAGTTTTGAATGACAAGTTGCTTCGGGTGCTTGATGAATGTGGGTGTGTTTTATGAATAGATCGATGCATCATATCTATTTCAATGAAAGGTTATACGTATTTAATTGCCTGTGATAAGCTATGACTCATGGCAGTTATCTTATCTAAACAGTTGTGGTCAGGAAATTGTTAGCCCTGAATTTGAAGAATGAATTCGTTTATTTATTTTTGTGGTGCTTAGGGTCAGTTTGGCATTGTTGTGTTATTGAAATAATCACTGTCGAATTTGTTTTAAGAGAAATCAGCTGTGAAAGAAATCAGTTTGGTGTTTGGTAAACTTTTTGTTAAAAATGACGATGATACAATAATCAATTTACGAGTATTTGATAAATTTTTGTGTAAAAGTGTTGTGAGCTATGTACAATAACTTAAAAAGGGCAGCAAGTGTTATTTTAAATTGCAATACCTAAAAACTAAATGTTATCAAACCAATTAGAAAACTCAATGATTGGAATTTACAACCCAAAATCTTCAGTGCCCTCTTCTTGCATGTTCATTAATAATTCGCACCATTTAACTCAATGGCCAACAACCAATTGCCATTAAAAGAGTCTAGATTGTTGTGGTTTTCCATTATCAAATAGCATAGG